CCCCAAAACCCCAAAACCCCAAAACCCCAAAACCCCATATAAGCTCTAGGAAAATGAATAACTATAATTATTTCATAAAACTAATCTTATGAATCCCTTTATTGACAACAATGACTTCAGCTCATTAAGCCAAAAGAATGATCTTGCTGATCCTTGGCATTGATTTGGCCAAGACAGTGGAGCTAACAACTTATTTGGAGAAATGGAGCTAAAACTTGAAGACTTGGGGTTTTATGACTCCCAGAAGCAGAAATCCACTCCTTCTGGCAACAAGAACCCTGAGATTACCATTGATTCTAAAGATATTGCCCTCAGCCCCCTTGGTGCACTTATGAAGAAGAAAGGAGTTAGATCCCTAACAAAAAGTCTGAAAGGAAGAAAAGACGTAATCTTGAGGTCTCTGCTTAGGAAGATAAGAAAATTTCATAGAGATCTTTTGACCCTCAAGACTTCATATTCAATGAAAAAGAGGTATACTCAGCCTCAAAGAAAGGAGTTCCTTGTGACTTATATTGAAGAGGAGTTCGGACTAGAGCCGACTGAGAAACTTCTTAATGTTTTTGACCAGTTCTTATTTCTTCGTCCTGAAGATGCCAGCCTCTACAAGGAGATGCTGTATAAATTCAGCTGAAGTAGGCTCAAAATTTTGCTAAAAGACCCAAGCTTCAACTGCTTAATCTACCACTATTTCTTTGAAGTTGATCAGGTCACTCTGGACAGAGACACTAGACTCGGTCTTCAGATCCTCATGAAAATAGGAGGAATGTGTTAATCCAAGACTGCTGAAACATGCTTAAAGGAGGCTTATTTTAATAACCCTGCTTGGCGTGGTGGGCATTAAGCCTGCCAAAATAATACATTTTCATAAAAATACATTTAAAATTGTCTTGTGTCGGTCCTCTAAGTTAAATGAAAGTTTATGATACACATATCTATTTATTTATAATCATTTGGTCACCAGAAAACTTAGTAAATCTTGCTGTACGATAACTTTGCTGTTAAATTTTTAAGAAAATTCATTAAAAAATTTCCATAAAATTTTCAAATTTAATCTCTGAATGTAATAAGTCTTAGAAAATAAGCAAGAACCCATTTAATACAAAGCTGAGAGATTTTAGCAAATGTTAGCATGAGAATAGTAACAACTCTTGAAACTCAGCACTTAGAGAAATAAACTACCCGTCTAAGTATTTTAGTAAGCGGGAGTTCACTCTTATCATCTGTCGGATTTTCATATGGTAGTTTTATCAATTTGGAATATGCCAATTAGAACCAAAGTCCATAACATCTACAGGAAACGGTGACCTAAGTTATCACACTCAAGCTTGCTCGAGAGGAACCAACGATTACTCTTTTGGACAATCTTGCTCATTAAAGATTGTATTCCTTCAGAATAAGAGCTTTAGCGGGAAAAGAAAATAATCATGTTTTGTACTAGCTTTACCATATTTAGTTATCTTATTGTCTTTTAGTGTTATGTCTAATTAAACCTCTTGAAAGAAAGAATAGACAGCATAAACTCTTGGATTTATGCCAGAATGGTTCGCAAGTAATTTTATGAATCATGAGCTTTGCAGTTGACCTATAACAAGAGCATATAAATTTTTGTAACGGTTGTTGACTCCAGAAGTCTTTAAAGTTAATTCTCGAATCATTATCAAATACTAAAACTTTCGAACGATTTCCTAATGAAGTTCTTAACTAGTTTGATAAATTATGTAGTCTTGATAAGTGTTCTTTGGTTTGTCTAAATCAACTTAAAGTCTCTGAAAGGCAAGATCTTGTCTTATTATTTACAATGAATCATTTTCATCTAGCATGCCAAACATTTATGTATACACTCAAGGGAAGAAGCTGGGAACATTTTTCCTCAACTTACTTTAGAGACCGTCGAATTTTATTACAAATTGGTTGAAGTCTTATTTTAATAATATTATTATGAAAGTTTTAAGAAGCCTGAATAATTTCCACTTCTTTAATATTTGCTTATTTTGAATCCAAAAGTTAAATAAAAAAGAGATATTTGCTTCTGTTTAACAAACACAAAGTCAGCAAGTAAGCAGAAGAAAATAATTGATGCCAGCGCACATAAATCTTTGAAAATCGAATAAAAATAGAAGGAATGGGCTCTTGGCTCAAGAATCTTAATATTCCTTGTTTTTTGCTTTAAATCAGTTCCTTTAGGTATCTGAAATTCATTCTAATAAATTCAAATTTTATTAAATAAATTTTCATTTTTGTCTATTGCACGAGACCATGAGCTTTATCTTTTTGTCTATCAAAACTTTCCCATTACTAAAGAAGTAAAAACTCTACTATTTATCATAAATTAATTTTGAAATCTTATTGAGTATGCTTAGCAAAAACAAAAGAAGGCTCAATCAGATTAGAGAATGCTTTTCCTATTCCATACGTTCACATAAGATCTCCTTTATGAAGGCAGCAACGATTACTTTGCTTATTATTTCATTGACAATAATATTCATACCATAAACAGCCCTATCAAAATCATCTTTTGTGTAAAAGTGTTAACCCTCCCCATTAATTAAGTATTCAGAATTCATGGGGCTCCCAAAGCTTTCTATATCTTTGTCTAGGCCAATTGTTCTGAGCATGAAGAGGCTATTAAGGCAACTTATTTTCATAAATCATTAACTTAATCTTTCTTTTTAAAAGTCTTGAAACATAAAAGAATAGCATAATTTTGTGACTTCATGTTTTATTGCTAAACTAACACTAAATATCAATAATTTATGGTCCTATCAAATGGTGCTTTCATGAGCAAATACGAGAGGATCACACCATCTCTCCTTTATCTAAAAATTATAAAGACAGTTAAAATGCTTATGTAAATCTCTAGTCAACTTATACTACCCATAAGTTGATTGCTAAGCAAAGTAGAAGCACATGGCCACATTGAGGCCTCCTAAAAACGATTGTAAGTTTAATTAATCATTTGTTAACGATTTGATCATTTTTCTATTATGTTCTTCTTTAGTATCATCTTCTCATAGAAAATTAAAAAAATTCAAAATATAGAGAATCGAAAAGTTGGTTTAAGTCTGAACATCACTTTGTCGCTTTTTAAAATGTGAAATAAAATGCGAATATGTCTATAAAGAGTCAAGAGTTTCTAAAAGGTCTTACCTGCACAGAGTTCATATTATCTGCAATGGTGCTAAGTTAGATAATTCTCTATGGTTTCTTGATATGCAGGCTAAGAATTACTGACATGGTGGTCAACTTCTTCAAAATGTCTAATGGAAAATTATTTGTAGTATTGTAGCTCATAAATTAGTTAAGCTTCAGTATAGTGAGGTTGATATTTAAAGAACTTGCATAGAAATAAAGTAAATCAAAAATTTAACTAATATCCTGAATTTTTAGTATTTTAAGAGGAAATTAGTCTCTTTGTGAGGAGCTTGCTTGACTAATTTTCTTGGTAGGAAATCTAGTTTGGAAATAGATTTTTAATTAAATTTGCTAGAAAGTATATGAAGAAATAATAAGGATATGAATGAGAGATAATAGGATAACTCAAGAATTATTTTAAAGAAGAAAAGACGATTAAAGCTAAATTTAGCCATTGTTAGTCAATAAAAGTAAGTCTTTGTTATAAACAAGATGAATTAACAACCTTCCTATATCTCTTTAAAGACAAAAATAAGCCTCCAAATTTGTCACTTCTCTTTAAATTCACCTTCTACTAACCCCAATCTTTCCAGCCCAACTCCCCAGACCCAAACTCAACTTCCTCTCCTCTCCCAGTTCCCAAACTCATACCCTAGCAAACCTAGTCCAACCTCCTACTCTTTCCGGATCTAAAATCCTTTCTCCTCTCTCTCCTTCCTCTAATTTCGATCCTTTCTTTTCCCAAATCCTACCTTTTAGTCTATCTTCTCTTCCATTCCATGTTCATAATTCAACCTTATTCAAGGTTTAAGGGGTTTTGGGGTTTTGGGGTTTTGGGG